ATGAGTTAAGTCCAAGTATTAGTGGAATACATTTGTATCCTTCCCTAGGGTAGGAATGATAGGGCTACCTGTAGGGCAGCATCTCAGAAAACATATTTCTAGTGGAGAAGACCAGACTAACAGAGGAGAAATACTAGAATATTGGATATAAAGGGGCAGAGGAAAGATGATAAGCATTTTGAACTACAACATAGGAAGGAGGTCAGTGGCATTTGCGGAAGTTGAGAAAGGCTTATAGAAGTGTCATTGAAGCCAGGCTGTTACAACAAAAACACCATAGATTTGGGTGTTTTAAGCAATGTTTATTTCTCATAGTTCTGAAGTCTGAGAAGTTCAGRRTCAAGGTACCAGCAGATTCAGTGTTTGATGATAGCTATTTTCTTGCTGTGTTCTCATGTGGCAAAAAAGTGGGGAGGGAGCTCTCTGAGTCCTCCTTTATAAGGACACTAAAACCACTCCTAAGGGTTCTAGTCTCAAAACCTCCCAATCACCTCCCAAAGGCTGAACTATGGCATTGGAGATGAGGATCTCAACATATGAGATTATTGGACAGATTCAAATATTGAGTCTATGACTGACAGGGACTTGGATGGCATTCTGATTTTAGATGGACAGGGAGGAGAGGGAAAGGTACCTTAAGTAAGAGAAACAATGTAAGACGGAACCRTCCAGTGGAAGTGGGAAATGTAGACTTGACTTCAATAAAGGTTTTGTGTTGGCAGTGGACACCTCCATTTAGCAGGTGGGGCAAAGCTATGGGAGAACATGGAGGCTTCAAGGAAAAAGTTAGAGTGGATTCTTTGATATAGACCACTGGGAGTCATTGCAGGTTCTTGAGCAGAGGTGTGGCATGATATATGAGAGAAAGCAGTTAGTTGCTCTTGTGCCTTGAAAGGTAATGATAATGAATTTATTGACTGATTTTTCTTTGTAGGTTCCAGTTCCTTCCTCGTTTGCTATTTAYTGCTCATGTCTGCTGCAGCATGGCATGAATGGATTCTCACATCCATGTCTCTTGTATTTCCACTTCCAATGGCTGAATGAGGGCTGAACTAAGGGTAGTGTGGAGCATTCACTTAGAACCCGGGACCACCTGGTTCTGGAGGACCCAGGAGAGGAACAGGAAAGCAGGAACCTTATAGCCCCAGGTCCCCTGCTTCCATTGCAATGGCAGCAGTAAAGTTTCTCTAACATACATGATGCTGCCTCTGCCTGCTGGGGCTGCATGGAAACCATGCCAAGCACCGTAAGCTGGACCTGTGAAGGTACCCTGGTGGGGGCTATTGTGATCAGATCCCCAAAAAAGCAAGTTTTAGTCACATCTGTCCATGGGATGTGCTATTCCTGAACATTAAAAAAAAAAATTGTTTTGAATTTTGAGACGAGGTCTAGTTCCCCACACTGTTCTTGAACTTTTGATCCTCCTGCCTCTGCCTCTAGAGTAGGTGGAGGTACAGGGGTGCACCACAGTGCCTGGCTCCTAGGGTGCATTTTATGCCCTGAGTATTCATTATGTTCCAACTTCAAGCCACTCGACTGTTTTGTGTGGTCTGACTTAAGACATGTTTGAAACCAAATTCCTTCTGTGTGTAACATCCTCTCTTTTAGCTCTATATACCAAGACTGCTATGTTTCCCTACACTGCAATTTTTTTTTTTTAAAAGGGAGACTATGAGGGAGAGGGAAGCCAGCATTTTAATGTTGGGATATTTCCAAACCCATTCATTAATTTTGTACAAGTAAAATGCATCTAACCTGATGGAATATTTATAAAAAGTGGAAGCTCACTGTCAATTAAATCACATTTATTTAATCTAGTATTAGACTGCCTTTTTTTTTTAACCAGATGGTAAACATTAGCAGTAATAGTGAACAAACATCCAGGCTCCCAGAGGTCATTTTTAACCACCATTAACAATCTGGTTTTCACGGATTAGTAATATACAAAAGGCAACSGTCCAGTAAAAGATGCACACAAGGCAGTCGAAGCGGCTTCTGTGCTCCTTGTTTACCTACCATCTAACTATTTAAAAAATGCTTTGTAAGGGAAACATTTAAATCTTCTCAGCTCAAAAACTTTCAGTAAAATATCTGAAATAGACACTGATATCAACAAAACCTCCTCTAAGCTGATGAAAAGCAAAGCTTGTTATTAATGTSACCAGCAGATTTTCCTGTGGTTCATGTTTCCATTTATTAGCTATCTGTTTAGTGGTTTCATACCCATGTAAAACTTGACTAATTGTGAAGTGGAAAAGACAGGCATTTTTGCAAATCATATTTTAATTTTTAAACTGAATTATCAAAATGAAGTGTAATATAAAACAAACAGTCCACAAAATATACYAAGGAGTCAAAAAAATCCCATCCCTCATGTGATGAGAACATGACTTCTAGAATTGCCTTTTCAGGAACAAATGATCTCATCTACATCATGTTTTGAGTGATCAAGGAAGTTGTAGAATGATATAGCCTCATTGTATCCTATAGATAAGTGCAAAGATATGTGTGGCCTGGTTCTTCTCTCATTCAGATTTAATATTGTATAGGAGTATGAGACTTCTACATGCTCAACTGGCTGACTGAGACTAAACAGGCAACACTGCATATAATCTATATTCATTTTCATTTCAAAATACCATTATCCTTCCTTTACATATAAGTGATTTGTCTCAACCTTCATATTGTTCTTCTTTTAGATAATAGTATTATTAGGAATTATATCGAGGTCTATATTTAAACTATTTCACAGGTATTTCCTTGTTACTTTCTCATTATGTGAAGAAAACCAAGATTTCAAGGTTAAGAGTAAACATTAGCACCTAGGCCTATAGAGGTCACATCCAWGATGAGTGGGAATGAGGTTGTGTGGAAGGGACTAGCTAGCAGAGAAAATGCCTGCCATTAAAGAACTTAAGAATGCCAAGGATATTATTAAGCTCCATCCCTAACCATGCATGTGTTCGGAAATACTCACATACACACAGGCACAGATATTTGCAAACACACGAGCATGCTTAGCATGTACACACTCCTGAAAATTACCAAGTGGAATGGAGAAATGCCATTTATAGTATCATGTTGAAGATTTTCCTGTTAGTCCATGATACCCAAGTATAAGTTGCTGCTTTGGGGAGAAATTCTGTTTCTTTTTTCATAGAAAAAGTTACCTTGGCAATGAAATTTTCTAGTATTCCTACAAGTGCCTGGGGCCATTACCTGTTTCTTTTTTTCCGGGAGCGGGATACAGGGGATTGAACTCAGGAGCACTCAACCACTGAGCCATATCCCCAGCCCTATTTTGTATTTTATTTAGACACAGGGTCTCACTGAGTTGCTAATGCCTCACCATTGCTGAGGCTTGAACTCACAATCCTCCTGTCTCAGTCTCCCGAGCTGCTGGGATTATAGGTGTGTGCCATCATTTTGTTTCTTGCTGAGGGAAATGATAAATAGGAGAGAATTGATACAATGAATTCTTGCTTATGCCATAATTTAGAATTTATGACCTCCTGGATTCTTTTCAATRACAACTGAAGATACTTTATTGAAGGGTTATTGTGTCTTCAGGACTATGTTAAGTACCAGCCATGCAGAAAAGACAGAGCCCCTTCCTCCAAGTGGCACATGGCCTAGTAGGAGAGGAAGAAGAATAGGACCACAACCTGTGCAAGATGCTCTCAGGACACAGAGGAGGGATCTAGCCTCTTGGGGCTGGGGAAGGGAATCCATAAAACCTTTTCAGGGCACTCCTCCTCATACCAGGGRTTGAACCCAGGGGTGCTCTACCATTGAGCTACATCCCAATCCTTTTTATTTTTTATTTTGAGGCAGGGTTTCACTAAGCTCCCCAGAGAGTGACCTTGATTTTGCAATCCTCCTGCCTTGGCCTTCYGAGCCACTGGGATTACAGCCATGGGCCATCATACCCAGTGTCAGAGTGCCTTTATCTGTTCTACCATACCTCTCTAGACAAGGGTAGAAAGCTTAATTACATTACTTGGATATTGCAGAAATCAGTTTGAAGTTTGAAGATACAATTATCTGCTTAGTTGAATGATTGAATTTCTTTGGTTTATTCAGATTTTCTGGATTATGTAGACTCAATTTACTGTAGATAGGACTTTTAAAAGATTGTTTAGCTTTCTATTACTCTACCCAGCACAAGAAAAATAAGTAAGAATAACAATCTAACATTTACCCACAACATAGATGGGGTTTGTTGTTTGTTTGTTTGTTTGGTGCTGGGGATTGAACCCAGGGCCTTGGGCATGCTAGGCATGTACTCTACCATGGAGTTACACCCCAAGGTCCCACAGTATAATTTTTATTGGTCCAAAATGAGTAGCTAAAAGACTATCCGCAAGCAAGTAAATATTTAAAAACTAGCAGATARCTAATTTCATATCTCTGTTTTAAGTTGATTTTTTTTTTTAAATAAGCCATCCATTGCCAAGAAACCCCTTCAGGGTTATCCATGCTGAACGAACAACTCAAGGCTTTCCCCCACTTCTTTTTCACTGCCCCACGTTTTAGGGACCTGAGAAGTCTAGGAGGCTTTTCCCTCTGTGGTCCTGAGGGCCTCCTAGTTGAAATCAGGCTACTTCACTCTTCACTTCAGRGAGGAGAGCAGCTCTGATCAGAAATTTCTGCCAGAAATCTGAACTTGCCCAGCCTGCTCTTTTGCCCTTTCCAGCAATGACTTGTGTTGTAAAGGATGGAAGTCGTGGGGAACCTGGAGAAGGGTGGAGTTCAGGATTCTGCTTTCACCAGAGCTGCTGAGCACAGGCCAGGCAGTTCCGCCCTCCTTTTCTGTAGCTCCCTCCACGGTTCAGGAGAATCGTACCTGAGCAAATGAAAACCACACTTGGGTCTGAGCAGTTCTAATTTCAGGTTATTATTAAATAAACTCTTTTGTAGATATTCAAAGGAAATGCAAAGAAAGACTTTCAGAAAATAGCCTACACAAAACTAATAATATTTTTCTCCTTTTTTAAAAGGTGAACATACACAAGAAACCAGTTCACCTCATTCACTCAAAAAGGATGTAGAAAATATGGGGAAAGGTAAAGAAAAGTTTTCATCCTGTAGAACTTCTCTTAGCTTTAAAAGACTATGGAGATAATAAGAGGATATTTTTGTTCTACACCATATTTTAAGCTTGACAAGCAACATATGAATAATATATGGACCATTGGGTGGATATAATTGAGATTAATGCATACATATCAATCAATACATGACACTGTAATACAATACTTTAAAATAATATATTACATTGATTTATATTCATGGATTTCTGCACAAAATCTATCCTATGTCTATGCAACACTTTTTAAACTGGTAAAATATTTTGTCTTATAATAATAAATTGCCATATATAACAGTTCTCTAGAGAGTTATTTATAAAGATTAGTAAAATGACTCTTCTTTTTTTCCCTATTAGAAGAACTTCAGAAGGTTTTATTTGAACAAATAGATTTACGGAGACGACTGGAACAAGAATTCCAAGTGTTAAAAGGAAATACATCTTTCCCAGTATTCAGTAAGAAATCACTTTTATTTCATTGAATTTGTGATATTTGCTGACATTTCTATTATTAGCCTTAAGAATGTGATTTTAAGTATTAAGGGATTAAATTCAATCCCAGACAGGCTTTCCATGGTCTAAATATTCATAAATTATAGTCTTTTATTTATGCTTTCAATTGGCTCACAGATAAGATTCCTTACAAAAACTTTTTGGTATTTATGTGTTGATATGTGTATGTGTGTGTATGTATAGTGTCTATTTAAAAATACGTATATAGACATGTAATTAAAATGTAAATATATTCATATATTCAGATTGTATGTTTTTAAACAAAATAATTACAAGTATTTATTATTATCTAAGATAGGAAAAGCAAAAGAACTCTTATTCTTAAATATCTCTGGATGAATACCTGGTGCTTGCAATATATATAAATATGAAAATTTAAACTTTAACAATTTAATGCACATGAATCTTTTGTTACAGTAGTACCTCCTTATCTTTGGGGATACATTTGAAGATTCCCATTAAATGCATGAAACTGCCTTTGGGACCTACATATACTGATTCTTCCTAAACATATATACCTATGATAAAGTGTAATTTACAAAGAGATTAACAACAACAATAATAAAATAGAAAAATAACAACCATATAGTATAGTGAAAGTTATTTAAAATTTATGAATTGCTTATTTCTGTAATTTTTCATTTAATACTTTTGGACAATGGTTGACCTTGGGTATCTGAATTAAGAGGGGACTACTGTAATTAAAACTGATATAACTAGATGAAAATGGATATAACTTTAGACGTTTGCATTCTCAATTAGCAATGAATGTTAAAACTCCATTCCAAATGTGGGGCAGGAGACATTGTAGCCTAAAAACTATCATTCTGTTCCTAGAGTCTTGGAATTTTGGAAATATTTTATAGAAGGTATCCAAAGTTCTAAAATTCACCTGTCCTGAGCTGGGTCACATGGGACAAATGCATCCAAGTAGTGTTTTTCAAGATTTCTGGAGTTTCATTTAGTCAGATTCACCTCTTCCGAGAAAGTGGGAAAGCAAACAATATGTACACTTTTTTTTTAAATTATATAAATTTAAAATTAACTTTTTCTGAGACACTTCTTTAGAATACCCCCGCTGTTAATCTGGGCATCACAAAATTCGAGTTGATAGTTCTGTGCCAGAGCCACAGACCAGCATCCAGCATCTGTAAGATTTTGTAGTAACTGTGACCATTTTGATCATGTGAACTTGAAGGTCTGTGCTCACCAAAGCTTCCCAGGTGCCATAGTCAACACAAATGAAAGTGGACGCCAGGAGCATTTGTGAATAGCACCAGGTTCTGGCAACCTGTCAAACTGAGTTTCAATAATACTCAGTGGGAACTCAACACGAGAAGGTAGCTGAGTGTTGGAGGAGAGCTCTGACCACAGGAGCAGGAGGGTCTGCCAAGTTTATGATCTCTTTGGAACTCCAAGACAGGTTTGGGGCTCCAGGACTTCAGTGTTTTAAATCCAGAGAATTCCTCTGAGCCTCAGAATAAAATCGAAGGCAGGAGAACAGCCAATAACTTTGGGTAGTATATTTAGGAACATCATGACATTTGTAGCTTCAAGAAAAGAAAAATATTAAAAATATCTTTGAAGCCTTAAAAAAAAAAACAGGTGCTTGGACAGGATTCAGAATTCTCTACCTTCTAAAGCTATATCTTTATTTTATTTTTATGTGGTCCTAAGGATTGAACCCAGTGCTTCATGCATGCTAGATGAGCACTCTACCCCAGCCCCCTAAAGCTATATCTTAAGAAATATTGTATCTTACAGTTCTTTGCAGCAAGAAGCAGACGGCAAATGATTTATTTCCCTGTGGTTGGTATTTATCTAATTGTAGAGTTTGCAAAGCCCTGCTTTAGATCAGTGGAGTGGGTCCAAGTCCCATTGAATCCCTAACGTGCCCTTTTAGCTCCCCCATGAAGCCAGTGTAGCCATAATTTATCCTATTAATAAAAAAAGAACTAATTAACAGTCATTTAAGGAATTGACTAATTTACAATAATTTATACATTTTCCTTAGTAACTGCTCTATTGCACACTGTGCATAATACATTTCTGTTAAAAAAATATTGCTATGATTGGACAGTTTCAATTCAAATCTATCATTCATTATTTTGATCTGAATTTAAATAAATCCTCTGTGATTGCCACATGTATAAAACACTTTGATTGAATAACAACAACAAAATTTTCCACTTTTTTTTTAATCTGTACCATACTTGACTGACCAAGGAAGTGGCATGTGTGTGCCCAAGTTTGAGTAATGTGTGGTTTCCACACACCACAAAGAGGCAGTCAATTTCACACGGATGGAAATAGCAAATGCGAATTATGTGCCTGTTAACTGAATGTGAGGGGCTGTGAGGCTAGTGGATGGATTTAAATTCTGTCAGATGGAAACTGTGGACTTTGTAAAGCTGCATTGGAAGAAAGCCTAGAGGAAGCTTCATAAGAGTTTTGGAAACCTTCTTCCTAGGAGGTGGACAGACATTCACAGTTATGGTTGAAAACCCAGGTAATTTAGAGCTCTGGGAACCCAGGCTAGAGCTGTAGAGCCTGTGACAACAGGAATCCAGGCTCAAAATTTTACCTGACCTGGGTCCATGTTCCCTGCTAGTTGCCCAACCGTGGAAACTGTGAAATGAGGCAGATCATTCCTGTCTCAGAGGATGAGAGGACTAAGTGAGACCATGGATGTGAAGTACTGAACATACTGCTAGCACAAGATGAGTGCTCCGTCGACATCAAATGCAATGACGGCGGTGATTATGTGGCAGGAGGAGGAAGAGAGGGCATCAGCACTGAGCTCTAGGAAAGCCTTTCTAAAATTGGAAACAAATATTGGACTTTGAGGGCTTCTTGTGATGCTGAGGATTGATGAGGTCCACGGGAATTAACCATGAAGGTGGAGGAGGTACAGATAAAGATTAGAGGGCGGAGGAGAAGGAGAAGAGTAGGAAGTGAAGGAGGTGATGGAAGGAGAAAGGCGAAAAAAGAAGAGATAAAGAAAAAGGAAGAAGGATGAGAAAGAACCAGTCTCCATCCTTGGTTGGGGAGCAGAGGTTGGGAGGATGAGTAGGAACAAGCAGAGCTCTATTGTTGAACTAGAGGCTTCCAGGAGCAGCGGTGCCTGACTCTGGTGGAAGAACCGAGTAGAAGATCCGGCCAGGCAGGGGGTTCCTAGGGAGGGTTCCAGCCTCCCCCACCGATGGCTAGTGACCTGAGACCAGTTCCCTTAGCTCTTCCCCAAAAGCAAAGCAAAGCTATACCTACCTCCAGGGCTTGCTGAGGGGATTAATGAATGAAGCGTTTCCCATGGAGCTGGGTGCAGAGTAATTACCAAGAAATGCAAGTCGTTACTACTGAACGTGTTTTAAAGTTTTTTGCTTATGTTCCTGTACCATAAAACGGCTAATATCAGAAGAGAGAGCACCTAGAGATTTCTTGGTCTGTATTTACAGAGGGTGGGACAGGCAATAAAGCTTATTTTGATACAGGACAGTTAAATAGAATTGAGAAACTGAGTGGGGCATGAGAGGAGATCAGGAGACCATCCTAACAAGATGGGAGACATGGACTCTAGAATTATCAAGGTCACTTTGAGATGACAATGGCATGGCTGATCAAACATGATCTGCAATGACCACCATGTTGGACTGGACTGCAGTAAATGATTAAAGGTGACCCCAGATGCCACCATTTCAAAGGCCCCACTGATGACTGGTCTGATCATTTTTGCAGTTATTAAGTCAAAAAGTCCTTTTGACCACCACATCTTCTTCTCYGTCAGCCATCTGTCTCCTCTCCCTCTCTTCTCCTCCAGCGATGCCTTACTTCAGTGCAGCATTCATCCTTTGGCTGTMGTTTTTAAATTCATTTTGCTTTCTTCCCACTAGCCACAGTGTGACCTCAGAGCCTGGCCCCAAACCCGGCGGCCCTGTCTGGTGGTGGTAGAAGGGTGCCGGTGTCCTCGCCTCCCTTCTCCACCCCGGCTGTGGTTATTCCGGTCTTCCTCATACTCTACCTTAGCACCATGTTTTCCACTCAGGAAACCATCATGGTTCTCACTTCTTGTCACGTTGTGTCCACATTAACTCCTCATCGACTCTCAAAACCCTCCTCCATGGCCCACCTGCCTCTCAGCCTTCTTTGGATTCTCCCCCTCCAAGCTCCAGTGAGCAGCAGACCCTCCCCACCCCTCGCTGTTCACCTCTGCACATGGTGGTTCTCGGGCTGGGAATGGCCCCCTTGGTCAGGCCCTCCTCATCCAGGACCCAGCTCCAGGAGGCCTTCCCCCTCCTGCAGTGGGCACCCTGTTCTGAGATGAGTTCTCCTGGCCTCACTCCTGGTTCCGCCTGGCCCCTGTTCCTCTCCTCACCCTACTGGGGGGCGAAGAGGTCCAGGAGTGGACCACCACTGGGTGCCTCCAGCGCTGGCGTAGGTGGGGGTCCATAAATAGTGGATAAAGGTATTGATGTCAGATTCAAAGAGACTAAAATTGACACTGAAAGAGGATCAGTGAGGATCGTGGAATCCAGGAGCCACCAGGGCTCAGAGTGGAGTCCTGGGTTCTGCAGGCTTGGGGACCAACTTGCAGCCCCYGAGAGAACTGGGGGGAAAGGCCAGTCGGTGACTCCAGGGAATGGGGGCTTCAGGAAAAACCCGAGTAGATTCCACCTAAAATGTCGTCATTTCAGATTCTCATAAAGCATTGCTCTCCCAGAAAGCTGATTCCATTCTATTAAAAATAAACGACATCTCAGCTACCTGAATCTGGTTGTCTGCATATTCCCACGGTGACCCATACTGAAGGTTCACTTATGTTCAGTGGTGTCCCTCCTCCTTCCTCTGTCTTCTTGTAGCACCCTCTGGAGGTGGGGGGAGGTGTCCAAAACACCGTACAGACCAAACATCCCTGTAGTTGCTTGGAAACAGTATGGCAAAATGAAGATGGTGTATGGAAAAAGAACTTCACAGCCTGGTGCGCCCTGAGTAGGGTGTCCTGGGTCACTGGATGTGCCACACAGGCTTTCTTCTTACCTACAGCCCAAGAGTGCAGACTGGATACTTCTCTTGCTTCTTGGAGAGTTTTGGCTTTCAAGCTTTCCTGGTTGCAGTGCGCAGCCTGTGCCACTGCACTGTGGCGTTTCTCTCTGCTACCTCCTTTTTTATCATCACTTTCCAAAAATTGTTGAGTTTTAAGGGATTCTCATTAGAGAAATAAGYTTAATCATTTCATTTCCAATTATATTTCCATCAAGTTTTAGCATATAGCGAAGCTTTTAATATTTTTGTTTCCTTGTCAAATGACAGTCTTTGTATCTCAAAAATTATGTTTGTCTTAGAAAATTTTAAATAAACAGAAATACAAAGGGAAGAAAACAAAAACCTCACCTATAATCTTGCAAATGCTATTAACATTTTGGAATTTCAATCTCCTTTAGYAAATCTGTCTTTTTAATACATATTAGATTCTTTTTTTTTTAACAGTGAGATTTTATACAATTTTTTATCCTCCTTTTTTCCCTTCCTTCTTTTTTCTTTTTCTCCTCCTTCTTTTTGATACTGGGGACTGAACCCAGGGATGATCTGCCACTGAGCCACATCCCCAGCCCTTTTTAGTTTTTATTTTAAGACAGGGGCCTGACTTAGGTGGCCTCAAATTTTATCCTCCTGTCTCAGCCTCCTGAATTGCTGGGATTATAGGCCTGCACCTGTATCTAAGTCATCTCTTCTTTTTTTACTTAAAATGTGTTTCTTGAGGCTGGGGAAGTAGCTCAGTGGTAGACCACTTATCTAGCATGCATAATGCCCTGGGCTCTGTCCCCAGAAACACACACACACACACACACAGAGTCTGTGCCACTGTGTGTGTGTGTTTTTGTGTTTTGCTAAAGGAGAAAAAAATTCTCTTTTTATTATTACACATCATTCTATAAATGTCTTCTCCTTCTCTCTCTTTCTCTCTCTCTCTCTCTCTCTCTCTCTCTCTCTCTCTCTGTTTATTGTGCTGGGAATCAAACCCAGGACCTCTCACACGCTAGGCAAGTGCTCTCCACTGAGTTAGCGAGAATGTCCCTATGAAGCCCTCTTGTGTTAGACAATATGGTTTGTCCAAGCTTCAGATGAGAGACATTGTAACTAAGATCTTTGCACATGTCCATTATTATTTCCTTGGGATAAACTCCTAAAAGAATTGTTATTAAAGAGTATGAACCKTTGAAAGCTCTAATTTCAGGTTTCTTCCCCCAAAGGGTGTGCCAGTTCATGCTGCCTTCCCTGGGACCACACGTAACATCTTTTCTTTTAGTCTTCACTACCTTAACTGGAAAATGGTGCCTCGTGTCATTTTATTTCTTTTGCTGCYAACATATTGAAGACTTTTCATCTGTTCATCATTTGTCTTATGTTTTATAAGTTCCATTTTATATTCTCTCCCTCTATTTTTTTGATGTGTCCATTTTCTTATTGATTTGTAGGAATCCCTTACATACTRAAATATTAAATTTTTGACATGACACAAATATTCTCTGCTTTATATCAACATCTTTAGATGGTACAATGGTGTTTTTGTGTTTGAGAAGTTAAATTTGTAATTTATTTTCATGTCAAAGTTTTCAAGTACTGTCTAATCAAACCAATCCATCTTTTTTCCTCTTTGATTTTTTTGTCTTTAATGCCTTTCCCCCACTGCAATCCTCACAAAGATATTCATTGTTCATTTTTTAAAAAATAATTTAATGTCTTCATTTTTCTCTTCATTGTAAGGGATTGTATTATGTACTGTAATAGAACAATGAGCTSGAATGAAGAATAGTTTTCATCATTTCACTTTTAATTACTCTGGGCTGTTTCCACCCCCTGACTATCAAATCTTCTGGAATCCCAAGGAATGTTCCAGCCAGGTCAGCTTCCGATTGCCCCTCATTCCTAGTCTATCTCAGTTTACCACGTTGATCAGAGGCACCTTGGATCCCTAGAGAGACAGGGGAGCCTCCTGAGGCTTGGAGGAAAGCTGTCTTCTGGAGGGAGGTCTGCTTTTCTTCTGGGCTGTCTGTGTCTGCAAACTCTGGCTTCCTGGAGRCATTTAGGCCAGGCCGTGGGACCAWGGTGTTGGAACCAGGGCAATTTGTRGAGGACTGACTCCCCTGTTGCCCTGTCCCAGCCTGTGGGCTTTGACCCACCCCAGAGCACCCTAGTGTGGCAAGGTGGGTGCCAGCTCCTCAGACAGCACCTCACCCCTAATTGTTATCAGTGTGAATCAGAATATCCCCTTCCTCCTTTCCCAGCATAGGAAAGACGGAGGTGGGGGAGTGCCACATCCGTTCACCTCCTCATCCAACCTTATAACACTAGAGCATAAAGGGCCTCAAGAGCACAGCACTGCACACTCTTGCTTCTTCAGATAAAGGTCTGAGGCTGCAAAGTGGGGCAGTTCCCAGGGATGGCAGAATCCCCCCTGCAGGTGGAGAGTACCTTGCTGGATTCATTAACTCACCCCTGCTGTGTGCCCAGCAGAAGCACAGAAGTGCTGGGGAAATTTAAAAAGTGTCTGCAACTTCTCTCCCTGCCCTTCAAGAATTCATTGTTCAGTTGGAAGACAAATGTGTAACAACTAATAGTGTGTATTACGGACATATTTACAGAGGTGCTGATTGGGTGCTGGAGAAGTACCRAAGAAAGGTGTCTGATTCTGGCAGAAGGGGCAGGAAAATGAGAGAACTTTCTTGGGGAGGTGATGTTGGAACTGGACTTTAAAGAAAAGGCTGGTATTTTCCGTGAAGGCAAAACATGGCAGGAGCAAAGGCACAGAGACCAGAAGTTGGGTGCATGTTTGAGGACTGGAGGGTGGTTTGATGGGCGATAGGTGCAGGGTGTTTCCTCTGAGCCCTCAGCTGCTGCGAACTGACCACTCCCAGTCACCCTCTCCTTGCACACCACTCTCCACCTCTGCTTCCTTCTTCCGTCCCCAAGGGAATGAGAGCCCCTACCCTCCCTCTGCACCAGATGCTTCTCTCTCTGCAGTGCCTTTCCCAGCAAATTCAGAAGAGAGATTAAGGCTTTGAAAAAAAAATTAAAATACATGCTTGGGGTTGGGAAAAGAAATCAAATAGTATAGAAGATAAAAGTAAAATAAATACATAAATAAAAGCAACAAAGTTTTAATCTCTAAGTATCCAGAGTCTTGTGAGTGCTAAAGATTTATTTATTATCTTGAAAATGATGGCCATCAGAGATTTTAAAGCGGGAGAATGAAAGGGATTTGGAGAGAGAGGGACTGGAGGCCTGAAGTCAGTTGGGAAATTATTCAGGGAAGAGGTAGGTGCAGGGTGTTGCCTTTGAGTGTTGCTTGTGCTTGGGAGGACACAGGGACAAAGAGTGGAGGAAGGAGGGAGGACACAGGGGATCCACACATCAGGTGGCTGCAGAGGTGGAAGGGAGAGGAGAGGAAAAGCSGAGAAGGGAGTTTCTGGTTTCTCCAAGCAGCTGCTCTATCAACCATAAATGCAAAAAAATTACATATAATACTTAATCACACAATCATGTTAATTTCTCCTTTAAAGCACAAAGAGCCAAAGCTGGCCAAGTCTATGCTTTTAAAAAAGATCACATGGAGAAGGTGCAGTGCTGTGCTATGCATTTCAAAGTCACTTCTTAAATGAAATAAAAATGATAAACATGTGGGCTGGGTTTATAGCACAGTGGTAGAGCACTTGCCTGGCATGTGTGAAGCACTGGGTTTGATTCTTAGCACCACATATAAATAAATAAAAATAAAGATCCATTGATAACTTAAAWTTTTTTTTGTTTTAAAAAAATGATGAATACCCAGAATTATAAAATGTTTTTTTGTATTATAGTATCTCTTAAAGTCCCCCCTCCCTGGTTTCTTGGATTGAGGCAGTTTATTTAATGGCATCAGGCCAAAGGGGGACATACCAGGGTTAATATGGGGTAAGAAGGATTGGCAGATTGGATTGGGATTGGGAGAGTCAGGCCAGAATACAAGTGAGGTGAGCTGTAGGGAAGCCAGCAGGCGTGTTCCAAGGCTTGTGTTCTAGTGGCCCAGAGCTTCATCTGCACGTTGGTCAATCCCCTCACTGACAATGAACTTGTGGAGATAGTGCAAGCTCAGTGCTGTACTTGCACAAGTGTTCAAAGATCAGAGAACATGAATGCAGTGGATCTTTCTTTATAATTCTTCTGTGTAAGGGACTTGATGGGGGCTGAGATGCTGTGAAATATAAGAATAGGCCTTACTCTCTCAGAGTTTACTGTCTGATTCAAATTCAATCACAGGGTGCTGAAAACATGTCTTTAAACAGCCATGATGTTTACTTAAAAGGGTGGGGGTGGCTACAGAGCAGGGACTCTCTATGGAACTATCAGCAATATTTTAGTGGTCCCTCAACATCCACTGGGGATTGGATCTTGCAGGGGAAGATCCATGGATGCTCAAATCTCTTACCTAAAATGGCAGAGTGTGTGCATATAACCTCTGCACGTTCTCCTATATACTTTAAATAATCTCTMTATATAATATAATCTCTATATTATTTATAATACCTAATACAATGTGCATGCTATGTAAATCATTGTTAGACCAAATTGTTTAGGGAATAGTGWTAAGGGGAAAACCTGTACATACATGTTCAATACAGATGCACTTTTTAAAATTGCATATTTTTGATCTTAGGTTGCTTGAATCATGAATGCAGGACCCTCTGACATGGAGGGCCAACTGTACACTAAAAGTAGATTTTGCACTTCAACTAATTTTCTTCTCTATTTCTCTCTCTTAACAGATAATTTTCAGGATCAGATGAAGAGGGAACTAGCTTACCGTGAGGAAATGGTGCAACAGTTACAAATTGTAAGATGAATTTCTACTTAAAAATAGATGCAATTTGATGGATTTGATTTCAAACCCCMCAATATGTATGAAACTGTTCCTGTTTTTTTCCAGGGAGTCCTTGGGTCCACTTACCTCTCAGCTGGTTTATATGCTAATTACCAAGAGATTTACTTAGGAAACAGGGTAAACAGATGTGTCAGTGTGCTTCCTCTAAATGTAACTACCTACCATGTGTTAATAGACAGATGCGTAMATTGTCTCTGTGGGCCAACTAGAGGTGTCTGATGTTTCCTTCCACCCAACAAACTTCCATACCTGGTGCTGCGCTGCGTGAGAGCACAGGGAGGGGCCACTSTCTCCTGCCCACCCCTCCTTTCCTGACCCACACCTGAGCCAGGCCCTCCACAGTCAATAGAGCTTAGTATACACACAATTAACCAATTGCATTCACTTGAAGGATAATGAAAAGAAACATTATTTTCAAATAAAGTGTGTTACTCTATCCTAATCATTCTTCAAAGTAATCTATTTATATAGGAGAAGAAAAAAAAAACAGAAGGATGTCTGATAAATGTAGAAGCTTTGTTTGGGATTTTTGTTTGTTTTCTGAAGTCCTTGCCCTTTGTCCCTGCACAGACACATCTGGTATTATTCATTAGTGTTCTCAAAGGGTTCTGCCAAGCTTCCTCATTTTCATGAGTACAATAGGGAAACTAATTTCTGCTCAATATTTTCAAGATATTTTTAATCACCTGGATAAAGACATGTGCTGATCCTTAGTGGTACTACCAGCATGATTATTATAATTTGGGTTGCTTGACATTTTTGAGCTGATCTGTTACCCTTGTACCAATTAGGTGTGGGTATCTGTGCATCTTGTTTCAGAACTAGGTATCTAGTCTCCGTCACAATTAAGAAATATGTTTTAATGTTTCCTTTCTGCATCTGTTGTGCCTGTGTTCATGGAGATTCCTTAGAATCATTCTTAAAGCAGTCTTGGATTTCATCATGTTTTCCTGAATTCTGGGGGCACTGTACATAAGATGACGTTACAAGATCCTGCTTGTAACTCTCAAAACAGCCCCCCCTTTTTTTCTGACTCAGTCCCTTAATGACAGCTCTCAGTTCTGAAAACCTCTATGCAAGGTGCCCCTTAAATAGGAACTTATGTTAGTTTTGTCAGTCAGTCTTGTATGCACCTAAATTCACTATGGAGAAGATAATTTTCTTAATCAATTGGTAATAAATCCCTCATAGACAGTAAAAAAAATGGATCTACTATCGTCAGTTTTTTATTTCTAGATAATAAGTGGTATAATTACTTGCTGTGAATATACCTATTGTTTTCTTCATCCAAAGGAATAATTTGAATATAAGCAGAGAGATATAAAAATTTTAGACCTTACTGATTTTACATAGAGCATTATTTTCATATTTTTTAAATTGCCATATATGAGACTAAAAAAAATTGATTTCAGGGTGGTAGTGAATATAGCAAAATTGGCATTAGAAAAGGAAACAAAGTATTTATTTTATTTTCCCTTTTCAAGGCTAGTTATATAAACTTAATGTCTTTTTTATATTTGATTTCTTTAGCAAATAAGCAGGTGGTATGGATGGAAGAAAGGTCTCATGTCTTTTGAGATAATTGGCACCTGGAAAATATGAGTTGGTATTACTAAACATTTTTATTAGACTGTATTACAAAATATTTTATCATCATGTATCTGTGGATCTAGATGAGTCTTATTCATCCCTAACAAGTTAAATAGTTACACAGAAGCTAGAATTTTCTCCCCAACCCTACAGGTACAATTCCTGAAATTCACAAAACTATATTCATATGATCAACAAGAAAAATTGGTGAAATAGACATGATTCATCCCTCCTGCTTCTTCCCCTCTTTGGTATCCCACTAGCAGGGTCTCGCATCAACGAGACCAGCCCCTAGCAGGGTCTCGCATCAACGAGTTAGAAGTAGACATTTGCCAAATGAATCACCACCCATGAACTTAGCTGACCTAACTCTGATGCTTTCATAGAACAGTCCCCTTAACTCTTAATGTCCCTGGCTTGGTCCTGACTTCCTCAAATGTTCTTTTACCTGCTATGCAACTGCTGCCATAACTAGTAAAGTAAAGCATACTGATGAGTTATGGGGAGCTGGTGTATTAGTACTGTGCTGTCAGCAACTAGCAGACGTAAGCACTGAGGTCTGTAAACTTGGCTCAAGGCCCATGTTGTCAAGATTTTTTTTTTCTCATAAGAGAATTGTTGTAAGGATTAATCTTTTAGGGATATTATAAGGTGCAAGTGAGTAATAAACAGGAAATGCACATGCATAAAATGCTAGGGCAGTGTACAAGTAGTGTCTATAATAGTTGAACCAGTTAAGCCTCGATGGCTGGAGAGATTTTTTAAACAGAAAGGATCTGTGTTTGTGTTACACTATCTGCTTTAGAACTGATACAGTGTGACTTGAATAGTGATATATCTAGTTCCCTTATTCAGCTTTATGTATCTGCTAATGTACCTGGGGGAAAGTGTCTTTTAGAAATTCCTATCTGAAGATTATTAAAGAGTTGTGAAGTATCACAGTTATTGGCTTTCTCAAGATTTTAGTTGAATGATCTCATCCATCAGTAAATATCATTGTGTACATTGCTTTCTGAGAACAGAACAATCCACTCAAAATCATTTTATACTTAAAGTTTACAGAGTGCATAATACAGAATAATCATTTTTTCTGTAGATGAAATAAAAACCAATCCTATCTTGCAGTCAAACATATTAAAATCATCATATTTTGTAATGACTCCCATAGACCCACAGTGGATTTATCCTATGTGTTACACAGCGTTCCTATTCTAAAGACTTATATGGAAAGCATCTCGGGTATCATTGCCATAAAAAGAAAACTTCTGAATTTCTTTGGATCCTACATTTATAGATTCTCTGCTGACTATCATTTCTGTGCTAGTGCATATTTTTCTAGTTTGTTAGATGTAAAATTGTGGTGACCATAGAATCAAATGATAGACTCTCCTTGTGCATTTATACATAAATATGCATGTATCTCAATGCCGAGCTTAAAGCATATGTAGAATAGTTTATTTAACATTTATTAAGGAACACAGGCTAACACTTTAAAAAAATAGCTTAAATTTTGAGTTTCAAAGTATTTGACATAGTTTGTGTTAAAATCCTGCATCTCTGCTCTGGGTTTTCAAATGCTTAAAGCATTCTCTTTATTAGACTGGATTTATTTACACACACAAAAATAAAGTCCTCTCACTAGGAACCCAATACAAATTTTTAGAATTTAAGAAGTTCATGAAAATGTAAATGTTTAGTATAATAAAGGGTAAAAGATTCCTCATTCACAAATGAATTGTGATTCTAGGGGAAATATGTTCAATTAAAAAAAAATCCATCATCCCTTTGGATTACAAAGAAGCTGAAGATATTTTATTCAGTGAATAACCCTTTGATTAGTGTTTCCAAGAATGGATTATAATGATTTACAACATGAACTGAGACTATTAGGATGCCCTGATAATCTTTTTTTTCCCCATTGCTTATTTGGTAATAATTTTTAAAGCAGTGCTTCTCTGTATATAAACTATTACTGCAGTTTTTTGTGGAAAACATGCTGTTTTCCTTTAAAAAAAATTTTTTTTGATCCTCGTCCTTGAAGGACATTGTGAAGCTGCAACACAGCACATGGTTAGGGCTAGACCCAGACTCTCTCCTCCTTGAAACTTGCAGGATAGCTACCGCAAAGCACCAAGACAAAGCATATGTTCTAGTCTTGAAGTGCCCTCTGCTGTTTTTCCAGAATGCTGCAGTCACAAGCAGCTAGGGGAACTGGTCTCAAAAGTTCTTCATTAAAAGCCTCAATTAAAATAATGTTCAATCAATAGATTTAGTACTAATGTTTCATTCACTGTGGACTTGTAAAAAAGCAGTTTACCACTTCCCAATGGTGAGAGCACAGTGCCTCTTTGCAGAGAAAGGAGCAGTAGGTCTTTCCCACTGCTGTTGAGCGCTGGCTTTGGATAAGAGCTCAGCTCCTCAGTGGAATGGACTTTTCTTGGAGTTTCTCCAGTATTCATTAGGATGGAACTTACCCAGATTCTTAGTCTCAACCCAGAGAGTTTGTAAAAATATGTTTTACATGTTTTGAAAAAAGTAGATCAAATAGTTACTGTTTTCAACTGTACTTTTAGAAAAAGATTCCTAGGCCTCTAGAGGATTTTGCTTTTATGGCTGAGTATGTGTCAAAGGAGATCCCTGCAGGTCAGGAGCCTTGATACAAATCTGAACTTCTGTGGAAGCTTCCTTAAGATTTTAAGATTTTCTAACAGCAGAAAGATTTTGACTATTTGACTCCTCCGTGCCTTTTTCCAATTATTCATCTATTGCCTTGCATCTTAACAATGATCAATTTCCCTTAATTCTATAGCCTTCTCATCATTCTTTCTCTGAGCTCTTGACTCACCTGAGTGAACTCAGGCTAACTCTCTCTTAGTACAAACTAGGAAAGTTGAAAGACTCCAATCCCTGTCTTTTTTGCACTTCTAGGGATCAAATCCAGAGGTTTCAGGGCCTGCAAACACTCTACCACTCAGCTACATTCCCTAACCAACCCCAATACTTTAGCTCAATTAGAGTCAACTGGGCAACTTAGAAGTGACATAACATTTTAATTAACGAATTAGTTAATTAATTATTTTTTTTGTTCATGCCAATCTGGGTGATTTCCAAGCTGGCCAAAATGAAAAGAAAACTTCTGTAAGTCCTGTTGTAGGAGATGTTCATGGAATAATGGCTTAAATGGAACCTCTAGAATCCTGAGCTCCTGGAAGTTGGGAAGAGTTTGCTGATGTGTCTATAAATCCAATATTGCATTTTATGGAATATGAAACACCATCAATTTTAAGAGGCACGTTACTTGGCGAATTACAAGAAAAAAAATTTCGACCATAATTTTAAGAGGCCATAATTATAATAATTTGATTTAAGAGATGTTAAAATGTGAGGAGGAAACAGGTATCTTGGAATCAATGAAATAACCTAGTTTTCATGAACAAGTAGGCCATTTGCTAATGTAATTTTTCTTTTAAAATTATTGTTGTTTTTGGTTTTTATTTCTTTTTGTTTTAAGAAAATAAATTTAAAAATTAGTGTTGTGTGAAGATAATTCTCACAGCAGTTTAAATTTCATTCTGGGGCTTTGGGGAGGGACATTTGAAAACATCCTTTTTCTCTTTTCTTTCTCCACTTTTTACCTTAATAAAATGCTACATTGTTTTTTCTGGAGGAAAAAACACACACAAAGGAGAGAAAAAGGCATTTTGACTTAGCTGTGAGAATAGGGACCTATTGGCACTTTTCTTTGGGTTAGGATAAATAGTTTACACACTTGTACGGTGACTCATGGTGATGTTGACTTATCTCTCATAGTGCCTGGCACAGAACAGACAATAAATCTGTGACATCCAATCCTGATGTTGAGGACTCTTTCTAAATATGAAAATGTCACAATCCAGGGGGGGGGGGTGCGCCCCTGTGATCCCAGAGACTTGGGAGGCTGAGGCAGGAAGATCACAAATTCAAGATGAGCCTTAGCAACTGAGCAAGACCCTGTCTCAAAATAAAAATAAAAAGAGTTGGGAAATGTAACTCAGAGTGCTCGCCTAGCATGTGTGAGGCCCTAGGTTTAATATTCAGTACCCCTCCAAAAAAAGTTATGGGTAACTCATTGTGCCCAACAGTTTATATCATTTATGGTTATCCTAAATAATTGCATTCAATACTCTGTTCTATTACACATCTACCCAGAGAGGTGATTCATGAGCTTTGGCTTATTGCAGCATACACCATAATGGAAAGGCAAGATTCAAGGGTGTCTCTGTTAACAGCAGGTGTAGCATGACCTCCAGTGAAAAGAAGAGGTAACAAGAGTAGGTCCCTGTGTAACGGTCCTTGTCATAGTTAGCTAGCTGATCTCAGCCCACATCCTAAGCTATGAGATTAGAACACTGAACTTTTTATGTCGATACATGAATCATTTATGTCAATGCTGCTATCTATGTCCTTTATCAGACATGTGCCCATCCAATGTGTTTCGTTTGTGATCGTGCATCAAAATAGGGGACTCTTTTAATTTTCTCCTTTTTTCCCATTAAAGAGATTATTTGATTCAATTGACCTATTTTTATGGTAAAATGGTCCAGCTCACCTTAGTCAATAAGATCGTTGTGTAAATTTGAAGCTCTTTTCCATTAACAAAGATTTGTATTTATGGACTGGAAGATCAAGACAGTAAAACACACCAATGTGCTGAGAATGTGAAAATGTACATCACCAAATTCAAAAGCATTGCCTAAAAATTTAAAATAATTTTATTTCCCTTCCTCTTTTAAAGTAACATCCATATTTTTATGTTACATTCTTTTTTTTTTTTTTTTTTTTGGTACCAGGGATTGACCTCAGGGGTGCTTAACCACTGAATCACAACCATTGTTCTATTTTGTTGTTGTTGTTTGTTTGTTTGTTTTTAATTTAAAGACAGGGTCTCACTGGGTTGCTTACAGCCTCACTAAATTGCTAAGAAACTTGTGATCTTCCTTCCTCAGCCTCTCTCCCAGACAGGTGTGCACCATCACACCGGCTTTATGTTACATTCTAAAAGGCCAAATATGTATTTCTTAAATAATATTTAAAATAGGTAAAATCTCTAAGATCTTGAGTTTAGTCTTGTAATGATGCAGGTGGGTAACACAATGATAAAGGACTTTAACTGAGGTTAGAGGAGAGGATGACCGTTTAAATTTTCTAATTAAAATGTGATGGGTTTTCATTAGCGACCTGCCTCCAAATCAGCTCACCTGGATGGTTTTGCTTTTGTCTTACAGATCCCCTATGCAGCAAGCTTGATCAGGAAAGAAAAGCTTGGTGCCCATCTCAGCAAAAGCTAAAAGGTGAGAGCGCCAGAGGAAAGAGATTTTTAACAATCCCTGTTGTTACTGCTGACTGTACTCTTGATTGATGTATTTGAAATAGCCCAAAGGATTTGTAAAGTTGTATCCTGTGTTTAAGTCAATACACTGATGAGCTTTACTATATCTGGGAATGAGACTTGATATGTGAATGACTAAGCGCTTCTTATAAATTCCACAGAAAATTCCTGAAAGTAAGGAAGTTCTCTACTCAGTCTGCAGAAGTGATGCTCATTCTATCTTGAGATTTTCTGCTCTTTAGGGTTCTCTCTGACACCCTTGTTTCTACCCCTTGGAAATGTCACCAGTCATGCTTTTATCGTATCTCATCTTTTTTGTCTTTCCTTTGCTTCTGAAAGGTCTTCCTGAAGTCTGACTTTCAGTGGGTTATACTGCAGATGGTGATATGCACAATTGGGGGGCAGTTTGAGACCTTCTGTTCGTTCTTTCTCTGAACCTGTAAGAGTTTTTCTATGCTAAAGCCAGATTCAAAGTCACATCCTGCAATAATTTAAAAGACAAACATTCTGAACTCTTAAGGAAAAACTGTGAAAATTCACTGATTTTATTCAGAACATGCCTAAGCATTTCAAAAGTGACTTTTTGATTCCATGAAAGAAGACATATGTGTTTATTAGAATTGTAGGAATGCAAAAACTAAGACATGATTGTTTCTATACCCATATATTGAGATGACAATTGAATTTGCTAAATCAGGGGGAAAAAAATCCAGACCAGAGGGTGGAATTTGTCAGTGCTCATGGCCAACTAGGATTGTGGCAATTTATCAGTTCAATCCATTTCCAGCAGAATAATTTTTCCTACTCCTTTCCTCTGGAACATGTTTTCAACTCAATAGGATTTATTGGCCAAAAAAAGAAAGAAAAAAGAAAATTTCTCCCAATGCAGGCTCACAATTCTTCTGCCTATCATGTTTCCTGTTCCATGCACAGATGACAATCCTACTTCTTGCCATCATCTTTATTAGTGACCATTTTCAGTATTTGTCTTAATTATAATGATAATGGAATTTTATCAGGCACTCTAAGCCCTCTCCCAAACATTCTCATTTGTACACTTTCCCTTAATGTTACAAATGGGGAACTGAGGCACAGGAAAGAAAAATGTGATATGCAGTGTCCATGCTGCAAAGCCAAGAAAAGATTCTAGGGCTCTCCACTTTAGAAGCTTGTACCCAACATATGAACTTCTTATCCTTAGGGAACAGATGTTTCTGCAACAGAGATGCCCAGATAGTAAATCGTTCTGATTCCACCACCACGGAATGATACACAGATGTGCCTGAGTCTGGCTCTGTTCTGTATATTAAAGTATTTGTATTAAGACTGAAGTTGACTTTGGATGGTTTCTTTCCCATTATAGTTAGAGGAGGTTTGCACCAGCAGTATGAAATGAAAAATTTAAAACATTTAGATTCCAGATTCAGAGTATCAAGATAACCAAGGCAAGAAAGAATGATCCAAACTAATTCTGATAATACCACATGTATGATAGTCAAAAGTGTCAAACTAATCTTCTTTCAAATAAAAGATGAAATATTAACACATGTGTTTCAAAATAACCTTTCTGTTGAAGTGTAACACATTTGGCATAGTCTACATATCATAAAGTCATATGAGTCATGAAGTCTCCAGATCAAAGTTCAGTGGATTTCCACCTAAAAACTCAATTTTTACACTTGTAGCACCCAGTAAGCATCTGGTGACCCCATATCCGGTTTCTCCCACCTAAGACAATTTTGCCTGCTTTTGAACTTCATGCGAAGGACATGGTATAGAATGTTCTCTTGCGTCTGGCTTTTTTTTTACTCAGCATTTGTGAGATTCACCCATTAGAGTGTGGTTTGATTTATACAAAGGAGCTTCAATAAACTCTCCTTTTACTCCTTCCACTTCCCCAACTCATCTTCCCTGCTTGTCAGGCATGAGCCCATCTTGCACCTACCAAATGAAGACTCGCCGCCCTGAAACCACGCCCCTGATGGTTATAGAGCGAACAGAGAGGTGGAAAAAAAAGAGATTGATTTGTGTTTAGTAACTAATGCTTCCTCCATGCTGATTTTGTTTCCATCTTTGCAGACAACAGGGATTTCTCTAAGTAGACCCTGGTGCTTTCAGAAGATTAGTGGTTACTTAAATGCTTAGCTAAATCAGCCAGGCAGAGAATCATGGCCATATTGTTAGAGCCAGTCTCTGATTCTCAACATGCCAAGCCTGCAAGGAGTTACCCCAAGAGAGATTACAAAATAAAAATCATTACACTAGGGGAGAGAGACAAATTCTGTCTTGCTGAGTGACCACAGGTTTCCAAATTAGGGATTGATGCATTAATGTCTTATGCAAGAGTGACCCTTAAGGTGGTATGCTGTGTTCTTGCCACCCAGTGGATTCCAATATGACTATTAAGGGGAGGAAGCTTTTCAAAACCACAGGCAATCCACTTAATAAGCTGAGCAAGTACTGCCACATATCACTGCTCCACAAATCTTTTTTGCCCTGTGTTAGAACATAAGAAATTCCATGTTGACTCAAAGGAAACAAACACCCCAGCCAAGATACTGACTGTATAATTCATCAGAAGAGCCAAGTTACTGTGATTAATGATATCACCCTAAAAGTTGAGGCATATACACATAATACTCTTAAGTTGCCCTCGATAACTCCTTAAGTACTCATTACCCATGGATTTATTTAAACCTTTCTTCAACCTAGGCATAGCCCCCTTTGGGGCAATGAATTCTATTTGTTTAGCTACCAGCTGTGTAAAGTGTAGTTTATTTAATTTATCTTTAAGTCACCTCCTAAAACAGGCCCTATTAGATCAGACATTGTTCTGCTCTGTGTATTTGTCACATCAAGAGCTCATGAGTACAATAGAAAGGATTTGAAGAACATTTCAGAATGTCTTTGTGTTTCACAGTTTCATCTGAGTCTGTTTTTAAGCCCAGAAATATTCCTAATGGCCTTCCTTGACTCTACTTATTTCTCTGAGGCAGTTCCTGCAAAGACACCCCAGTATCATCTGTGTGAAATTTGTGCCCCAAATAAAAATGGCATGATGTCAACACTAATTTATTACTTTATATTTGTTTTCTTTCAAGCACCTTCAAGCATTTTTCAAATATCATTCACATAACAGGTTGAAACACCTGTCTTTGACAGAAAAGAATTAAATCATTTTCCATAATGAAAAGAAAATTAGAGAAGATGACTCATTTATAGTTATATACATAACTATAAATAGTTATCTAAATAACTATAAATACCCATTGACCAGGTTGGAAATGATAATTATCATTTATCAGGCACTAATTATGGCAGATCCTGGGCTAAATTCTTGTCTGCATTATCTTAAAATTTATTCATCTGTAAGTTCTTATGACTCTATAATGTAGACCCTGTTCCCATTTCATAGAGGAGAACACTGAAGCTCTGAAAGGTCATACAGCTAGGAAGTGACATGTCTGTTTGACTCCACAGCCACTTTCTTGCCTGCCTTGTATCCTTGAGCTGTTGATGAGGATGATGAGGTTCTAGATTGGATACTTCCCATGTTATCTTAATGTTATCATTTAGAGTCTTTGAGTCTCACTGTCTTCTAAAAATCATGTGAGAATGAGTCCAATCAAGGTATCTTTCAGCTCTAAAATTTTGGTAATCACTATGCATGACAGTCTTCTGCCATGTTCTCTGTTGCTGTCCTGTAAAGGGGCTGCTTTATCAAAGCCAGGTCAAGATCAAGAGTAGTGGTCAAAGAGTTGTCCACCTATATTACCTCTTGTATCACCAATTACTTCTTTGCATCCTCTTGGAGAGTTGGAAAATATGAAGTCTCCCCTTTGTTGAGAATATTTACCTCTTTGGTAAATTCTCATTACTTTTACTTCACTTCTGGAATAATTGCTGTAAAAGTAATAGCAAGAAAAAATGTCTTAAAAGGATATGGAGGGATTGTAGTTGAACCCTGTGCTTTCCTTTGGGGTGACCAAAGATAAAAAGGGGAAATAATATATCCATTTCTCTCACCTTTAGTTAGAAATGACAGGACCAGGTTCTTTCAAGAATCTCTATTGAGAATAATGATGTGCCCCCACTGTTCCCAGCATTTTGAATTCATGGGTTGTCTTAACCATCAACCCATTGAAATCAGTACTTGTCCCTTCACCATCCTACAGCTGAAAAAGCTGAAGAGCAGAGAGGTGAGTAGGTTGTCCGTGGACTCACCACTAGGAAGGGGCAAACTTGAGCAAAACCAGCTGGTCCTGCAGCCCATTCTTCCTCTGTCTCTGGTTTGTAACCTAAAATCATGATCTAATTCACCTCTTCCATTATCCATTATAAATATGCAGTTAACAACCTGATGATCTTGTTGATTTTGAATCATAAAACCTCCAGTCATACTTCTACAGTTTCCCTAATACCTTAAGACAAGAAAAATAAATAAAACATGGACCATCCAACCAAAGCCAACAGGGCACCAGAGCATGGAATTCTGTCTGCCCTTTCACTGTGGGCTGTCTTAATGTTTGTCCAACAGCAAACCAAAGTTTCTGGAACTAGCCAGACAGCTTTATGGTAAGGAAGGCATAGCAAACCAGCACACTCTGATTTAGGAGTTCTAGTTTGGTTCAGTGTCATCTGAGATGTAGAGCATAAGTTAGCAGACAAACATGGAAACAGGAAGATGCTTTTATATTTACCTTTTAATAATGAAACTGCACTAAAAATGTCTTCCCTTCAGGGTGCAGTAACTATCATTTTACTAGTTTGAAAATTATCTGCCTGTGTGGCTCTCGGGTCATGGTTCTGTCTTTTGTTTTATTCCAGGTGCACACATCCACTTATTCTTGTTCTCTTGTAAAATACAGCCTGCCACTGAGCACTTCTGACCTGCAGAAAGACTGCACACTGAAAGGGCTTGGGAATCCAATACAAAATCAGGTTCGGGAGAACCCAAGG